GCTGGTGCCATTTGACAGATGTGGAAACTGGGGGCTGGCGAGCAGCTGACATGGGGCCACACCCTGAGCGGGAAGGGGCGGGTCTGAAGCCAAGCACAGGCCGCTGGAGCCCGCAGTGACCGCTGTCGCTGCCAGAGGCCCTGGGGTCACTGTCTTGGCACTGGTGACTGACTTGCTTAATGCTGAGAGAATTTGGGGGCAGGAGGCTCTGTCCCCAGCCCAAGCGTCCAGGGAGTGACAGGCACAGTTGCATGCCCTTGGTGTGCAGGGGGCTCACCAGCTACCCAGGGCTGACAGATGGGAAGGAGGTTGGGCGGGTAAGGCAGGTGCTCAGACCGGCCTTGTACGCTCGCCGGGAGGGCAAGGCGATTTCTGAAAGTTCTTGGGAACATGCGCTGTTCCTGAGAACTCTTTGAAGCCCTCCCCCCAAGCCCTCCAATATTTGAGGCATTGTTACTAGGCCTGTCAGGCAGGACCAGAAGGCTCCAGAGCTGGGTGAGGCTGGGCTGCGGGGCCATCTCAGGGGCATGCGTAGCTGTGGAGAGAGGACAAGGGAGCCAAGAGGGAGATGGGGCAGGCCTCCCTGGGGACAGGGGCCATTTTTAAGAGCAAGAGGGATCTGTTGAAATTCGTGTTTTTGAAGAGAAGCTGATGAGACTGGTGGTCTGGAGCCGAGACACTCAGCCGTCAGCGCAGCCTCTAGGGCTGAGCCCCAGAGAGCCTGCAGCCGGGTAAGGAGACCCTGTGCTCTTACCCATGGTCGAGTCTCAGCACGTCTAGTATAAACTGTTCAGCAGGATGTCACCCAAAAGGAATGGCAGTTCTAGATAGGGGCCACCCCCAGCCTCCCTTGGTGTGACACTGCTGAATTCCTGAATTCCATAGGTTTTCTAGGGCTGTTTTTTTTTTTTTTTAAGACGTTGCCCAGCGCTTCTTCCGAGGCACCTCTGGGTGGTCTCGAACCGCCCACCTTTCTGTAACCTCCCAGCAGTAACCACTTGCCCCACCCAGGGAGAAGGCAGGCACAGGCGAGTCAGCTTGGAGGTGGGGGTCGGATTGGCGGTCCAGGCACTGGGCCTCTCCGAGATCACAGGGAGTCAGGGACTAGGAGGGGGTCACCCCAAGTCCTGAGGACAGGAGGCTGGAGGTGGCCCAGAGCGCCCAGGAGGGCACATGCTCAGAAGGGTGTCAGATGATGGACAAGTGGGAGGGCAGAGCAGCAAGCCCCCCCACCCATGCCCCACTCAGCTGAGTCAATGTTTAGAGCAGGGCGGACGGAAGGTGCTCAGGTACCAGGGAGACCTGCTTTGGGGGCCACCAAAGGCAGATGTGGGTGGGACCCCAATGCCCAGCCCCTCACTGCCTTCCAGCCCCCCCATCCCTGAACATCCCCCCACATGCCCCCTCGGGTCATCCCCCTCCCTGTGGACATGGGGGTTCAGGGTGTCAGCTGTGCCCCGAGCCCCCTGTGCCCTGACTGCGCGCTGCATTCCCTTGGCAGCAAGAGGGCTTCGCCATCTACTCGGAGTACTGTAACAACCACCCGGGCGCCTGCCTGGAGCTCGCCAACCTCATGAAGCAGGGCAAGTACCGGCACTTCTTCGAGGCCTGCCGGCTGCTGCAGCAGATGATCGACATCGCCATCGACGGCTTCCTGCTCACGCCCGTGCAGAAGATCTGCAAGTACCCGCTGCAGCTGGCCGAGCTGCTCAAGTACACCACGCCACAGCACAGGTGGGACACGGAGGCTGGCTGCTCCCGCCTCACACCACCCAGGGCAGTTCCACCCGGCTACCCGGTGGCCGTGGGTCTGGGGGCTGCCGCAGAACCACACGCCATCGCCGTTTTCTGCTCACGCGCTAGGATGGTCAATCTATTGCCAGGCTGCTGACCCCGGGGGTCCGGGGTTCAAGCCCACCAGGTGCTCCAAAGGAGCAAGACCTGGCACTCTGCTCCCTTAAAGGTCTCCGCCTGGGAGAATGCGCCACGAGACCCTTGCCCTCGGGTACATGGGGTCACGGGTGAGCTGGGAATGGATGCCGCCACGCCTCGCCAGCCACCTAGGGGAACACAGTGGGCCGAGTTGTCAGAGGCTGCAGCGGCGGCAGGGGTAACAGGAGAGGTTTTGGCACATCTGTGCCGACGGCGCTTCTAAGGGAGAAGAGGGGTTTCCTAAGTTGTCATCATCTGGAGGAATCTTCCTTGTAGTTTGCATGAATTTCCTAAGTGTTCCTGTGTGGCTACTTGGTGGGTGATTCAAGGGCTACTTAAAGAAGGTGGGGGGGTGGGGCATGCCTGAAGTCTGGACTGCGTCCTCCACCTTCCCCGCTGCCCTGGCTCTGTGGGAGTAGTGCTTGCGGCAGCTCACTCAGGCCGGCATTTGCTACCGCAACAAACCACCGGGGGTCGTTTGAAGGGCTTTGGGGGTGCCTGGTGGGCAGGGGTTGGTGGGAGCACCCCCATCACATCCTGTTCACACATACCAGCCTGTCCTGTCTCATTTTGTACTCCACTTGTTTGGGTCTCAGCTTTTTGTGGGGAGAGAAGAAGTGACTATACGAGAAGGCTTCTAGAAGTATGGGGGAATCTTCATCCCCTTGTAACGTCACATTTTCACCAGTGTGTTGGCACCCCCTCGCCCGGTACCTCCCTCGTTGTTTCTGGCTGTCTGAGGTCCGTGTTCCTGGAGGGCTCTGGCTCCCCAGCAGCTCGGCCTCCTCCCCCTCAGCACCTGAGCATCTTGTTTCCCTACACCTGTGGAGACACTGTCAGCCCGCCCTGGCAGGTGTCTCCACAGCGGGATGCGGGTAGAGTTGTGGCTGCTAACTGATGGGTCACAGGTCGGCGGATCCTGCTCCTTGGCCACTTGGTGGGAGAGAGGGCCTCAGCTCCTGTGACGAGCCAGAGTCTGGAACACCCGAAGGGGCACGTCTACTCAGTCCTACAGGGTGACTGTGACCCGAATCGACTGAGTGGGATGGGTGCTTAGCGGTTCGGTTTTGGGTGTTTGTGTACCTGGGCCACAGCCCGGGCCTGAAGGGGACATGGCGCTTAGCGCGCCCCCTGGTGCCCGGATCTGGACATGCCACGGGCCGGGGCAGGGATTTCCGTTTTCTCAACCAAACCAACCACTCCTAGGACCAACTTTGGCACTGGCGCTGTGCCTTACCTACCACTCTTGAAGATTTATCTGGAAGGTTCTAGTGGAGTGGGGGGTGGGGGTGGGGAGAGAGAGAGAGAACCGTGTCCAGAGGAAATTTGCTGCAGCAAACCACAGCCGTCTGGGTTTCACCAACAAAAGTTGGCCACATACCAAACCCTAGACTCAGTGCCTGCGAGTCTGTTCAGACTCATAGCAACCCTAAGAGGCAGAATAAAGTGACTCCATAGGAGCCCCGGGGGGTTTAGTGGTTGTGCATTGGGCTGCGATCCGCATGGTCGGCAGTTCGAAACCATCAGCAGCCCCGCGGGAGAAAGACTGGGCTGTCTACCCCATAAACGGTTGCAGTCTCGGAAACCCAACAGGGGTCTCTGAGTCAGCATT